GGCCCGGGCTCAAATGGGGGCCCGGCGGCGCTATAAGGGGGGGCCCGACAACAGATTTTTTGTCACGGGGCCCGATCTAGAGAATTGTCCTGGGGCCCGGCCTGGCTCTCGGCTTACACTATAACATACACCTCTTAAAAAACTAACATAGCATGTTTTAACCCTGTTTTTTCGCGTAAACTACAACATCTTTGTAATTCTTCACCATTTAGTCTAGCATATTTTATTATTTCGCACTTCTATAACTTTCTGTTTCCTTTTTTATTTATTCAATTAGTCGGAACACTATCAGAATCACTTTCGGCAGTTGATGCCATGGTTTTAAATAATTTACACAGTACACTGCGTTTAGAAAGATCACATGTCACTGACTGGTGTTGTTTCTAAATGCAATCAGATATTAAGTGATGCATAAGTCATATGAATGTATATCGGGCAAGTGATGTTACTGCGTGGATAGATGTGTTTACCTTTAAATAATGTATTTTTGGTATAAAAAGAAAATGGCCAAAAATGTGACATGTGTCGTTTCTCAAATGACCGATTCAAATATAAAACAAGCATAAATACCCTTTTTGAATATTTTGTCCAGTTTAATGCTTTATCATAATACTAATACAAATATTAATAATAAGGGAGTATAAATAGACCATTAAAAGTTTAAAGTTTATTAATTTTATGAAAGCGTTGTGAAGTGAAAGAAAATGTAGTTTCAAATATTAAGAAAGTTATGTGAAGATGGTTTGGATATACAGGTTTGGAAACAATTATAAGAGCCATACGGTGTAGGTACGCCCATCTCTATTAATTGCAGGAAATTATTCGTAAAACGTCGGAGAGCATCGTAATCAAATCCGAAAATATGTACAATAATAGATTAACATAAATAATCGTTACCTCTTACAATAAGTATACCTAGCATAAATGTTACTTTGTTTTTTGTTTTTGTAAAAATGAGAACTTATGACGAAATAAAAACTTTTTAAAATACATTTTATTTACCGACAAGTCAAATTGCACAATAAGAGAGAACGATACCCCACAATAGTTCATGCATTACTATCGGAACTTTCTATGAGTTTGCACGCTCGCAGGTCAAAGGAAACGTGGTAGTCGTTGTACACAAAATATAAAGAAGATGGATGTTCACTCACACTGCCTATAGCTTATGGCTCGTATAATTTTTTCCTAATCTGTATAAACAGAATGAACGATAAGAGATAGACGAAACAAGTTTACAAAACGAGTGTGGATAAGAGAGTTGGAAAAGGTCGACCTCAACAAACGTATACTTAAATCCAGATTGAGGACGTTTTTAGCAAAGGTCAGCTTAGCAGCTCTAATTAAGTCAACAACAATATACTTTTAAGTATAAAAAATTTGGCTTTTAAAAGAAATTTCAGGCGTTCTACTGTTGCTATTTGACTCTGTTGACTAATGAGTTTGCCGACCACTGGATTAGCGGCATATTTTTTGCTCTAAGCATTTATTTGTTTGCTATTGTGGTTCGTTAGAAACAATGGCTATGATAGCTTGATATTCAAGCTACAGTGGCAAGTGATGTATCTCTGTTTCTATGAGATATATCAGAATCGGGTTTGTAGCATATATTTTGGATAATTTTTTCTATTTACAACCGAAAGAATGTTTTTTTTTGCTTCAGTAGTTTTCGGGAAATATTAACTCCTTTAAATTGAAAAAAAAAAAAAAAAAACATCTCTCATACCAAATGAAATATTAAAATGATTTTTATGCCAGATTTTGTTGCTAATTAAATACTGCTCATTAATATCTAATCAGTCGTCACAATTAGTTCAATATCATAATTTTACCCAGGATCACGTAATATAATGCGTTCGAGTAATATAAAATATTTAAAAAAATCTCTTCGAAATCTTGCCAACAAGGATGCGGACATTTAAATGCGGTGGATTCACAATCAAAATGATTAACCCTCGCTATCAAAAATGGCTCGCGATTTTTTGGGTACTCCGGCCACATCAGTCCCTACCGAGAAACTGTTTTTAAAAGCTGGCCTCAATATAAGAAAACATCGAAGTCAGTTAACAGCTAATTAGGCCAGATCTCTTATATGCCTCAATTCTTGGTTTACCTCATTATTTAAAAAAATTATATTTTTTTTATGATAAAATTTATGAATATTTATTTTTTTAATGTTCTTGGATATTCTAATGCAGTTTTTCTAACTTTTTTGGTGACGGAACCTTTTTGAAAAGCGAAAAGTTTGACGGAGCCCTAAACACATTTAAAAAAAATGGTCCTCATGCAAAATCAAGCATCCTTCCTCTTAGTGACTTCTAAAAAAAAGGTCCTGCCAGGTCCCTCCCTTTTTTGGCGATAGTACTGTTTTTTTTAATGACAATTATTTTATTTTTGTTCGTAAAATAGTATTACGAATACATACAACATATTTCATATCTATTTTGACCTCTACAATACGTGGCAGCTCTATTTCCCAGCAATTTTGGGACATCCTGTATATTGGATGCAGGTCCATATAAGATTTCGATTTTATCGCAACTATAAGTTAAGCCTTGGTTTCAGCCAACAATTATTAAAGACTACCTCATTTTGCAAAGTTCATAGACTCAACATTTTTACCAGATTCGAATCCAATTTATAATTGTATTTACTAACTTTGAAACCCCATTGCTATTAAGCAGGTTTGCCATGCTTTCTTATTTAATTGCTGTCTTGGATGTACCGCCATATTCTCCATACTATTATTCCATGTTTTGTCAAATTTAATTTGCAAAGGTCAGTATCAATTAAACAGTGTTATGTCAATAGTTATACTCTTTCAGGCCTGATGACCTGATGATGGCTATTGTGCAGAAACCGGTTGTATAATTTTAATAATGTTACTTTATCATGATGACCACTTTAGTGGAGTTAACTAACCTTCATATTTTACTCTAACAAACTTACATTATTTTATTATAATACTATATTATTATTGTATGTTACCTTTCTTAAATAAATTGTAAATAATTCTCCAACATATTTTACAAAGCTTTTTATTTTTTTAATTCTACATTAAGATTTAATTAGTTGTTTCTAAATAACATAGCGTTCAATGTATTTCTTTTTTTCCAATAAAAAGTAAAGCATAAGTATTTACGATGTGATATTGCAATAATTTGATAATAATTTGATTACAATTTAAACAATTTTGCTTATTATAGTATTTTCCTATGACTAAGTAACTTTTCCTATGACAAAGTAAATTTTATTATTTACAAAAAAAAATTGTTTTCCTTACAGTGTTGTGTTGAAGTATATGTATAAATTAAAAGTGACAAGATTTTGGTATAAATTATATTTTATTTTTTATTATTATTAATAATATTATTAAATAATAATAATAATAATAATAATAAAATAAATAAATAAATACCAATCTGTAAGGATAACATTTTTTTGATAAATAATAAAATTTACTTAGTCATAGAAAAATATTACAATGAACAAAATTGTTAATATTATTAATATTAAATTTCGCATTTGTCAGCTTTTAAGTTGCCCAAATCTACATATTTTAATTTATATTTATAAGTGACACCTTTCAAGTATTTTTTTTAATGACCTTCTAGTATGTACTTACATAGCCAGATACACGAATTGAGTTTGTCGACTAATATCATAACCTATACATTATTACATTAGGATTGGATCAATATACTTATTTGCTAACCAATGTTATTACATGTAGTAACATCAATATTTATACGGCTTTTTAGAAACAGTAGACCTCAGTATTAAGTATATAAGAGAAAATTCAATTTAAAAAACAAATGTTTTCATCATTGCTTCACAATTCTCCAAAACTTTAATGGGTCAAAACTAAGCCTGGGTTGCAGAAATAATATGCACAACATATTCTACATTTCAAAAATCAATCAAATGAATTAGAAAACAACAAGAATAATTGTAACTTAAACAATTTAACAAAATTCCAATATAAAATAATTTTAAAAGGTATCTATGCGCAGGTGAATGACGGCTTGTTTGTGAAACTTTGAATTTTGTCGTGATCATTTTTCTTTAGTTATTTTTTTCATAAAAAGTAGCATACACATTTGGAAGTGCTACTTTCCAAAAACGTTTGCAATAATTATAATGCATGTCTAAAGCATAGATAATTAAATTATACAATTTGAATTAGTAATCACAAAGCCGTCGTGATTGTATGAAATTAGAGTATACCAATAGTTCCGGGCATAGATGAATTGTCCTAAATTTTTTATATAGAAATTAAATGCAATTACAAAATCATGATCAAAAAAATTGTACTAAAAAACTACCAGCACTACCAAAACAAATTGCAGAAAATAGTACAGTCTTTAACAATACTCGTATCTCATGTGACTAAAAGAAACACTAACAACTTCAGTAGTAACCCTAAACGAATGTCACTGACCTATTAGACAGAACCGACATTCAAAATGTCATAAACGGTTATTTTCATTAAATTTCTTGTTTTACTAGATCACGTGGGATACGGGTATTGTTGAATACTCGTGGTTGTTAAAATACGTTCTAATATGATTTAAACCACAATCAGATAATAGACAATTTTTTGAGATAAATCCTGTTTTGAAGTATTGTTCCCGTAATTATTGTCCATTAGTTTTACAAATTAAAGTAATTGGCCACTATGTTAAGTTTACAAAAACAATAACAGACTGAAAAGTAATATACTCAAAATACTGATTTTTGTTGGAAATATTCTATGCTACTATAGTTTTTATTAAAAAATTAAGTTACTTAATAAATGCATTTAGTAGGGTAACTTTTTATTTATAATATAAATGAATTTAAATGTGTTTAAAAATTGCCAGAAAATTACTAAATCAAAAAGTCGTTCTATTTAAACATTTACTATTTCTGTCATTTGTTTTAATAATATAGAAAAATATACAGGATTCGAATGTTTTGTTTATATTTGCAAAAAAAAATATATTAAATATCTTTCTTACCTTATCTCCACTAGAGTAAAAGAAATATTTAAGTTTAACTATATTACAATGTTCTAATTTTCTCATAATTTGTAGTTCGCGATTCTGAAAAAAAAAAAAAAAAAACATGTCAATATAACTACATACTTATGTTTTAATTAATTTTTAAATGTATAAAATATGTTAACCATTATTTATTATGTCAAAGGCCGAAAGAGGGAACGTTTAAAGCTTTTGATAGATCTGGACATATATCTAGAGACTAGTTGTGTTTGTAAACACAGAATAGATTGATGCATGCCGAGAGTGCAGTCTAGCGATACTAATAATGTCAAATTATATCCACATTATACCGGATGACAATAAATTATTGTAATTTTTTTTGAACTGTTGACAAACAAACCCGATACTTTGCTTTGTTATAAGCTAGTCAAAGACGCTTCTGAATGTTTTTCAATAAAAACATCAAATAGTTACAGTTCACTTTTGTCCTATATCAAACATTGTAAGACCTGTAAAAGGTGCCTCATATACTATGAAGCGAAGAAAAAAAGGAAGGTCATACAAACATTAATTTCATTAATCTTAGAATATAAAATTATCACGCACTAATGTTGTGCAAAGTATATGTTTGCGTTGCTTGATGTGCAGTATACATACTGTATCGGCTATCGAACACCTTTCAATACCCCTTGCAACAAGTGCGTGTGAAAACTACAGAGAGTCAGCAGGAAACGAATAATACCAGCGATGACAGTTCAAACGGCTTGGCCAACGTTAAAACGCGGTCGGGCCGTACAAACTGGCATCGCTGATATTATTCGCCTCCTGCTCGCGCCAAAGCCTACTCTCTGCAGTTTTCACACGCGCTTGTGCATTGTGTATTGGAAGACATTCAGTGGCCGACACTGTATACGGGAGTATTGCTACTGAGTTTGTTTCAACAGCGATTAAAATAGTCAATGACCGTCAATATTTTGCGCTATTATTTAGAGCACTTAACAATCTACTGTACAGGATCCTGACGGTCAATGACTGTTTCTGATTGTTATTGAAACTACAATTTTTACTCATCAAATTCAAAATCTAAAACAAGCCCCAAAATATCAGTATCAAAAATTTCAGATTAAGTAGGTAGAAAGAAAGCAAAGGTCCTTTACGTCTCACAATGTTATTTAATTAGCAAGCGGACTTCCGTTTTTTAAACACACAATGTATTGAAAAGGAAAAAATATTTATCACAAAAAAATAAAATCGAACAAAAAAAACAGTTAAAGGTTAAAGACGGGGTTAATAAAAGGTTAGTGACAAAAATCTGAACATTTTTTGTATGTTTGTAAAAAAATAAAAATTTTCTTGTGTACCTATTACATTTAAAAAAGTCATAGACACCTGAAAAGTCACATATAAACTGTTAAAACATTGCACTTGCTGTAAGACATAATTTTTGTATGTATAACATTTGGATACTTGTATTTATATATTATACTATGCCTATAGATGAAACAAACTTGTTGATGTAAACAATGAAAATGACGATGTATTTATGCCTACAGGCCTACTGAAACAAACATGTTGATGTAAACAATGAAAATGACGATGTAATGATTCACTTTTATCGCCCACCTGGTCCTCGAACATCAGTTAAAAAATCTCAAGAAAAAGTGTTGGTATCTTTTACCAACGTTCTTAGAAAATTGACAGCTACGGGTCGTTCACACTGTATATCAAGAGAATTTGTCAGAAGAGATACCTCTGCTGTTGGTTGACTGTCCTGGAATTGCATAGACTATTGCATAGACTGAACACTTTTTAAAATAGTTATCGATAAAACCTATATAAATATATGTCGTAGCCAGATTACAAAACCCGTCGTTTTATAAATATCCTAAACGTTTTATAAATAGCGACCCAATTGTCAAATTTTCGTTTACCTTCCATTATTTTACAATCTGACTAGCCAGATTATAAAATGCCTAGGCGTTTTATAAAAAGACAATCAACTCACGGCCAGATTGTCAAATATTTAAGATTATGCTCTGTTTGACATTCCGGCGGGTAAGGGAGTTTCAGTCGTCTTGTAAAACACTGTCGATTTTCGACATGAACAATTTAATTTAGGATGATAACAACGGTATAAATGAAAATGCAGAAAATAAAAAATCAAACGATAAAGAACAAACTACACGTAGAATGTGTAATTTCGCAGTAAGTAATAAAATTAAATGGAAGTGTAATCTTGCTGTAAAGAAAAAGTAAAATAGACCAAAAACGTGTAGCTGATCAAATGGATCAAATAACAAAAAAAAAGGAACGATTTCCAAAATTTGTCAGGGGCCGCTTGATCCTAAAGCTGTGTTAAAAACTATCATTGATGTACGAAATGGAGTATACCAGATAGGAACTGAATATGATTTTCTGGAGTTTCAGTTGGTACGTCAAACTTAAATCCAGAAAATACCAGTATTTCGTTAAGGGAAGCTGTTTCTAAGGGTTTTTAATTTAAAGAAAGTCACTGAAAACCTAGTAAAGTTTAATGCTGTACAAATGTTTTCAGGCAAGGGAAAATTCCACAGTAGGTCTCATTTCATTTCGATAAAAAAAATATGCTTATAGTCTAAGACCCGACCGTATGCACTCATATGTTTTTAATTCAAAGTACAACTTTTATAGATAATTATTGATAAAGAAATATAATTTTGCTGGGTTACCTATCAAAATATTGCCGTAAGTACTTTTTTTCTACTTTAAGGTGTATTTCTCTTATAATTGTTTATAGAAGAAAATTATTTTAATAAAAGTTGTTTGTGATGTTATTTGCTATACTTTTGGTCATATAAATATTTTTTCCAAAATGGAGTATGATTAAGAAATTTGAGGAAAAGTGCAAATCTTTCTGTGAAGTAAATATTGAGTGAAGCCCTTCAAATCAAAAAATGTTTAGATTACGAATTACAGATAAAAATTATTCAAAACACTATTTCATAACTTCATTGCCAACAAAAATACTGAAAAAATAAAATTTTGCTTATTTTCTTAAAAAAATCACATATTTGAACAAAATTATAGAGAACAACTCTGGTTGAAAGAATTTTCATAACAGAGTAACGAAAATAAACTTATTTTTATGACCCTAACTTTAAAGTAAATTTCGTATTTTATAAAACGATTAAAACATTTCGGCAGAATGTCAAGCAGTATATAATGTTAAACATTTGACAATCTGACCGCGTGTTGACCGTCATTTTATAAAACATCTAGGCATTTTACAAACCGACTAGCCAGATCGGAAAAAGAATGAATGTTAGACAAAAATTTGACAATCTGGTCGCCTTTTGTAAAATGTCTAGACATTTTATAAAACGACGGGTTTTACAATTTGGCTACGACATATATACACTGTATTTTTGCCAAGTTTTTTTTTAAATTATAAAATAATTGTTATTACAAGTTTTTTTTAAATTATAAAATAATTGTTATTACAATTTTTTATGAGTTGTAGAATTTATTAAATTATAAGTATCCCTATACAGTATTTTAAAATTATCCTTATACTAAGTTTGGTTAAATCATAAAACTGAGTCCTGACAAAACAACTTGTGGGAAGAAGTTATTTTTGGGAGGTTCTTTACGAACAAGAGAGTAGATGGACTAAAATGTGATCGTGAATAACTTATCATAACTTTGTGAGGAAAAGCTAGTTCTAATATGATAAGAGCCTCAGTCAGACCTCGGTAACTTGCGCTAACTTGCTGGATGAAACTTGGTGTATACGTTGATATGACCATAAAAATATTAGAAAATATCGTTTTCCACCCGCATAAATAGGTGTAAAAAAATAATAAAAAAAAATATAGTCGCAGAGATGAAACCAAGTGTGATGCTTATTTTTATAGTAAGAAAAATAAAAATAATAGTCTTCCACCAATAAAATACAACGAAGGTCGTCTTCCAAGCTGATGTTCTCTACATGCATCAATTTATATTTTACATTTCTAATAAATCTTATTTGACTATAATTGATTATTTTTCGCGATATGGTTAGGCTTATCCCCTAGACAGTATAAACGGGATATCAGTCGTAGAAAAACTCTTAGAATTTATTTCACATCACGGACTACCACAAAAAATTACTACCGACAGTTGAACAGAATTAAAAAAATTCGATTTAGAAGATTTTTGTAAACTACACCATATCCAATTACATATCACTACCGCAAAAAAATTGTAATTCAAATTCCCCAGTGGAATGGTTTCATTCGTCTATTAGAACATTATAGATGTTTACAAGAAGAAAACAAACAATTCACACCAGAACGACTAATTAAAAATTCTGTATTTTGTTATATTAATAGTATACATTCAGTGACAAAGTTCACGCTATTTGAAATAATTAAAGGACACATTGATAATCTAAATCCCTTTGAATTAGACGTTCACTTAATAATTTCTAATTATGTACAAGATCATAAACAAATTAGTAAACAACGTAACGAAGAAGTAAAAGAAAATTTAATAAACAAATTAAATGAAAAGAGATCTGACCCAGATAACTATTCTAATCAAAACCCATGTTTTGTCAAAACAAAATCATGAAATAAAAAATTACCAAAATTTAAAAAGGCAAATGTCATTGAAGATAAAGGTATTTTAATAAAAATGGATAAGGCTACTTATCATAAAAGTATTGTTAGAAAAGCGAAAAATAATTTAGAAAAATTGTTACAGGATACCAACGAAAATCAAATCCATTTTGATAACGACTCTGTTCCAAGTACAAGTTCTACAAGTCATTTATGTATATAAATACATAGTACATCTTCTGATATACAGATCACTCCGATTGAAAATCTGCTTCCTATTCAGTTAGGAAACGCTAAACTTATATATAGCAAACATACATTTTTACATTATTTAGATTTAGAAATATTTAAATAAGTTAATAATTTAGTTAATCATTTTGAATCGATAAAACTAGTATAGTTCATGTTAATGCAACTAACCCTATATTATCATAGCTCATCACAAAATATGTTAACAAGAACAGAATATCTAATAATTACTCTTCAGAAAAAGATTAATAATTTAATTCCTCATTTAAGACA